AACTTTTGTATAACCACATGAATTGCATCTACAAGTAGAAGTAACTTGATGTTCTACCATACTCTTTACATAGTCATATTTTGTACAAAGAGCTGTAAGAAATTCTAATGCATCTCGTTTATTAGTAACCGAAAAATAGTCCCCTAAAGATTGCCGTATTTCATATGTATTCAAATTATTCATTCCATGTTCACATCGATGTGCAAACAAATTTAAAACATCAGGTTTATCGTAATTTAATAATAGCTTTCTGGAAACATCTAAATTCAATAAACATTGCAATACTGCATTCGCATAGCATGAAACCTTGTCTGTATTTTGAAAACCACGTATAATCCAAGCAGTACTTTTTAATGGAGCTTTTTGACCCGATTCTTGAACGGAGGTAATTATTTTCGGCAATGTCCACGAAACATCTTTAACTCTACGATAACACTGTTTTGAAATAGTGATCATTTCTGATTCTGATTTATGTATTCGTTTCAATCGATTATATTCTATAATAGCTTTTTCATTAGCAAACACAGATGAAGGATCAAAATTAATTAAATGCAGTCCATCAAGAGATGTTACTCGAGATAATGCAACATAAGCCTGACCGCAATTAAATACATTGTTACCTAGATCCATAACTGCATTTTGCAAACTCAAACCTTGACTTTTATGAATGGTGATACCATAACTCAAACATAATGGAAATTGTTTTCTAATAACGTAAACTCTATCCATCAATGGAAACTTAACACTTACTCTTTCAATAAAATAGTCTAAACCAGATGGTAAAAGAATTTTTATCTTTTCTATAGTTTTATCCTGCATAACTGATATAACTGTAGCAATTGTACCATTTACAAGGCCCAAACTGGCATCAATATTACGTCTTATCATAACTTTCGCTCCAATTTTAATTGTAATTCGTTTTGACAGTCCAGCTGTTCTAGTATCATCATCATTATCAATATTTGACAATGCCTTTGTTACTTTTTTTTTCATATATGAAATACAATCAATCGTATCTTCAGCAATTAAAAGTATTTCTTTTGAAGTAATACGACTTAACATTGCAGCGTTTAATTCGTTACACATGTGACAAGTAGGTAACAAACAAACAGTATCAGATGGCAAATTATTAATGAAATCACATAATTCGCTTAATCTTGTTTGAAAAGACTCACCTTTGAAAGATATCTTTCTTTTTTCAAGAGTATCACAATCAGATGGCGTTAATAAACCAACGCGAATTCTGGAAAGTAACTCACGATAAGATCCATCTCCTTGCTGGCGTATATTGATTAAATAATACCGCGACGCATTTTGGGTGGGCCCGCGACGGGGAGGGCGGCGGTGGCGACGGCGGCAGCGGAGTCCCATGGTGGTGGCGGCGCGTATCAATGGTATCGCTGTTTACATAAACAGCGATACGCGTCACCATGCTGGGACCTTCCCCGCGCCTACGAATACCCCCCGCGTCCCGCACTCCCCTCGGAGGACCTGGCTTAGAATCCACCATACTATACTACTTATATCGAAAGCTAAATTTTAACAATGACTTACAAAATAGAAGGCAAATCAATTTAAAGCAAATTCTGAGTAATGGATGATAAATGGATAGATTCTGATAACGGATTCTTAATAAATAAATAATTATTCATATTTTGTAAGACTATATGTTATATTTTTGTGCTATCTGAGATAATACCGCTTCAAAGATCAATAATTATGTACGTACATATTATACAAGTTTTTTAGTACCATAAATCGCAAATGTATCATTTTGTTTAATTTGTTATCAGTAATTATTGCTATCAGAAGAAATGAGAACGAAAGAAACTCGATAATTTTCGTGCTACTGAATGAAATTTAAGAACTTGTTCTGCTCATGATTAGGTCTGTTCGCGTTGCTTGAAATCCCCAAAAATGTTTGTCCTCAAAGTGAGATAAATAGATATTCAGGCGTTGAAGAGAGAGAAAGCGAATAGACCTATTGTTTTATCCGCAACGAGAGGGAACTCATTCGAGTCCACTCGAGCAGATTTCTTCTTCCTTGTCGCAAGTGCACTTGCATGATTTTTCATTCCAGACCATCTGGCGCTTTTTATCACACTCTCTTTTATTCATGCATTCGCACGCGCAGTTATCTTCCGAATATATCTGATGAATGTTGCAATGATTTTCTGTCACGCTACATTGACACATCTAAAAAAAAATCATATTCTCTCTTTCTGTCTCTCTCTCTTCAACAATGAACATAAGACAAAATTAATATTGATAATGGACTTGTTTTATACAGAATTGAACTTTTGGTCAAAAACGCTTCTGCTTTTCTAGCTTTTTTAGTTGAAAATTATAATTATCAAAAATTTAATTACAGAAAAGAATATAAAGCTTCAGTATATTTGAAATTAAAGAAAGAAGTTTATTATAAGTTATAATAATTTGTCTCTATAAATAAAGAATTAAAGTTTCAGTTTGGAAATTACGGATTATTTTAAAAACAAACGATTGAAATATAGGATTATTTATACGTTATTTGCGATTGAATTATTTTTTCTTATCAATCCTCAAATAATAAGTATTTAAAAAAGTATTAACAAAAGAAACACAAAAACAGAATGGAAAACTATCTTACTTGCATTTGGTGTGCTCCTTGAGCAACACGTGATAACACTCGCTTGAGTTATAACCGTCCTCACTGCATTCTCACTGCGACCTTTCTAACATTTTTGCGAACTGACATGCATGATTTATTCCTCGGATAGAAACCACTGCATCTTTTCACCGAGGCATAATTCGGATAAAAAGTGTAGCCCGGTTGCGATATTCATTTTATCATAGTGTGCCTTGGCACGCACATTACCTCTTTCATCTGATTATTCAATTACATACGTCTCCCGGCGCATCCTAAAAGTATAATTGAGAAATTCGCAAAAATTCATTTAAAAAATCAGCCATCTCTATATGCGATTACTTGAAAAATTAATAATGAGAAAATAAGTCACTCTTATATGTTCAACGCTTTATGTTATTACTAGTAAGCAACTGTTTTTAGTAAGCAAGAGGTCAACAATTATCAATCCGTTCAATAAATTTCCGTAATAAAGAATGATTTCCAAGAACCTTGTTAGATTTCTTTTCCTCTTAATAATAATAATAAAAATATTTACATATTTTATTAGTATATAAAAATAGTATTATTAGTATATAAAAATTATTATTAAAAATTATTATTAGTATATAAAAATTGTATATTATTAAATAATAATAAGATTGAAAGACCGCTAATGTTAAACATAATAATTTTAAATTAAGAAGCGCCATAACGTTAAGATGTTGAACTGTTGTAAATTCATTTAAATGAATTAATTTCAGAAATGATAATTGCGTGCCGATATGGTTGTCGGACTTTCAACGCAATCAAATCTGAAAATATTAATAATCCCCCCAAATTCCCCAACTTAAAAACTGTAATAAAACTTATTGCGAAAAATAATGCCTCGGCCGGGAGTCGAACCCGGATCTCTTGCATTCCGTGCGAGCGTCCTAAGCCTTTAGACTACCGAGACTGTATATTATTAATTTTATTTATACTTTATGTATACAATTTATATGTTTGTGTCTAGTAGATACAATAAAGAATCATTTCTTTCGTAAAAAGAATAACTAAAAGATATAAAATAAATTTTATCGATCAATTATGTTCTTGAGGAAAATAATTTTATACACAAAAGTAATGCACGTGTTTATATATTATGCAAGATGTATTAAAAATCAATGGGAAAAGCGATATTCTTTAGAACAAAAAAATACAAATAGAGTTCATTTCAATCATGCATTATCACGTGCAAGATTGTAATAATAAATCGTAGAAATGAAAGATAACATGAGATTGAAGATAAATGAGAAATCTACATAAAATTCAATCAGTTGCAATATTGATTATGTGAAAACATATATATGAATAAAATGAAACGTACTTTATATTTTTTACTCATGGTAAATAAACTTTCTTTCATGTAGCATTATTTAATAGACATTATATAATTCCTAAAAATATAATTTCGAAAAGTATTGGTTATATAGCCTAAAACGATAAGATGCAATCACTGTTGGTGGGAATAAACATTAAAAACTTCTATATAAAAACATATTTTAGTACCGTTGTAAAGAAAACTTTACAAATTACCTATCGCCACTCCCTCGTGCGGACGTAATTCATCGTCGGTGAATCGCATGCCCTCGGCATAAATCCATGTGGTCGCTAAAGCACACACTATTGTAAGAAACTTCATGATTAACGTATAATATGCGGAACGCAAATAAATTGCTTGTAACGCAGTGTATCATTAGATAATGAGCATGACGAAATTTCTTCTTCGTTTATTTATAACGGCCGGAAGATGTAGTAGCGACGTGTGATTTTAAATCTCGGTTGCAAAATGTCTATTGACTTTGCAAGATATAGAGAAGGAAATTCCACTATGCGGAACAACTATTTCCTGCCTGACGTGATCGTTCTGCGAAAATGTAACGATTTTATTTATTACTGATTACACAGTAATCTAAAATACATATGTATAATATTTGATGAACTAATTGTATTCAATTTATGTTACTCGTTATAAAATTTGATATTAATGTATAAGAAATTGCATAAAATTGAAAATGCAATTTTAATATCTCTGCTAATTAAAACGATATTATGATTTTTTTTTCTTTTATGTCTTTTGTATATATATTTTTTATCTATATATATATTTCTTTTTATTTTTTAATCTTTTTTATTAATTGTTTCCTATCAAAACTTGAATTTCATATAAAAAAATTTCTTATCTATCTTTAATCTCTTTGTCATCTTTTATTTTTATATTTGCATAAATAGTCGAATAAAAGATCACATGTTGTAAAATTTAATTAACTAATCTAATTAATCAAAAGGGAATCACAGAATATTGTCGCACTGCTTTGTAGTACCATCCAGATTTGTAAATAATATTTGATTTATTATTTAAACTATACATTGTTTTATTCCTTGGGCCAATTGTCGATATACGTACAAAGTAAAAAAAGGAAAGTATTGAAATTAGAATTAGAATGTACTATACTGTCAGCTAAAACGTTAAGATAGGTCCTTCTCGGTGATCCAGAATATCTGTAACAGAAATAATCGCGGCTGAACGGTTTACATTATATTCGAATTGCGTAGAAAAAATTAATTCAATATCCCAGACATACTAACGTATTTTATTAATAAAGACGAAAAAGATTTTATAGAAGGTATAATAGCATAGCGTAGGCCGAGAAATTTTCAAACATTCCATATAGATATTAAAAAATAAAAATTCATGTAATTTGATTTCGGTTTGATTTACCTTTCGCTATGCTCCACCATGGTAACGTAATGTACGTTAAAAAGGCGTTCAAAGGTACGGACTGCGCTCGCTTCGTCTCTTTCCAGAAATGAAAGGTTTGGGTAAAACCTCTCATCGTCCAAAGTGGATTATACGCCCCGTCGTCCAACTCTGAAAGTAAAGAGATATTATTAATTACAACCCAACTCGAAGCTTGTAGTATATTTCATGTCCTGCAACAACAGGATGGTTGTTTGAATACAGGATAGATATTCATTCGAGCAATGAAACAGACACAAGCTTAAAATTGTAGGAGATTAAATGCATCCTTTGATTAGGTTGTTACGAGCTATAGAGGAAAAGATGAACATGTCGAGTATACGTATGTATATGATGTTGCAGATTATGCACAAGAATTACAGATACGCAAGATAGAAAGAGCAAATAGAGGGTGTTTTTCTGCAAGGACATAGTATAACACAGTAAATCATTTTATCCTTGTTTAACTAGCAAACAACAAGGACGTAATAATTCATTGTTATACTGTGTCTTTGCTAGAAAATGTCCAGAATAAGGAATATCAGGATACATCAATTTTCGCTTTTACTCCGAAAAATGTATAATGATAAACCTCGTTCAAGATAGTTTTTTAACGTATAGAAATCGTATTATGCAAGTTACATACAGAGACAGGTCCACATTCGCTGAAAATCAGGCATGAATCACACAAGAGTATGTCGTTTACTTTAAAAAGAATTAGTGCCTAGATGTTTTATGAATTTTTGCAGAAAGCGAGCATTGAAAAATAGAATTAATATTACGTTCACAAGATGAATTAACTATATCTACCTACTTTCGATGACCGTGCTTATTATCGGTGGTGAAATTCGTGATAAAGAATCATTACAAGCATTCGAAAATGACCGAGAAGTCACTTCCCAGACAAACTCTTTGCAAATCACCACCATCATTATCACCCTCCATCGCATTGCGTGCAATCACAGTCGTTGCCGTTTCACCATCCCATAAACACAATCATTGATGAACACGAATGCTTTGGGTTCAAGTAACACACGTCTACATTACGCACAACGATTTAATACAACAGAAATGATGATCAGTGGATTGCTCGCTCGTTGAGGGCAAAGGGATAGAGAAGTATCTTTTAGGGTGAGGGCACAGGAAGGGTAGGAAAAATTTACCCTGTGAGCCGGGGCGGCGCGGGAGCTCGCACCAGTAGTAGATCGCGGTGCCGTCTGGCGTGACTCGATGAGGAGGTAAGGGGTTACCCGCGAAGCTGCCTGAGAGCGCCCTTCGACGTCGTCTTCGGGGTAATGTGGCGCTCTGTCGACGTGTCGACACGACCTCGCCGTTGATGCGCGTCACATGATGGGCGTTCGCGTTTTTGTCTCTGATCTCGTCGTTCTTGTTCTTGTTCTGTCCATAGGCGTAGTCCTCGTGATCGGAACCGGCGCTACGCAGACGGCGACGGCTGTCAGACCGCCTTACCCTGAGTAGCTCGTCATCGCTGAGCCGCCGGTGTTCCTCGTCGTCGTTCTCTAAACCATTATGATGATTGAATAGGTGTCCGGCGCTGTACGGACGTCGTTTCCGGTTATTGTCCTCCGTAGCGGTAGTCACGTCGTAGCCCAGCGGCAGTTCCTCCTTGCCGTGCACCAATATCGCGCCCGAGTCTAACTTCTGCCGGACGTTGTCGTCCGTTAGGCACCGGCCGGCCGGCACTAAGATCTCGCTGCCCACCTCTATGTGTTGGTGCTGGTGGTTCTGCTGATGATTGTTCTGCTGGTGATTGTGGAAACCTGCCGCGAGAACCACGTCGTCATTTAGACGGCGACTGCACCCGTGTCGCGACTACAAACGATCGTACTCCCGGTCTCTTTTCGCGCTTTGTTCTCCGGGCATTTATCTAAAACCACTTACTCTTTTTTGGTGCAACTTGAACATTTTATTCACATAAGGCTTTAGCTTTATTTCAATCAAATAACAAAACAAAAATATCTAAAAAAGTCTTTTTGTTCATAGTCACATATATTCTTGTCAAAGCTTATCTCAAGGACACGGAACACGATGACACTCGGTAATTCGGAAAAGAGCTAAACACAGAGTTTCTACTAGTCACACAAGAAGCGAGAGCGTCGCCAAGACAGGAGAGACTGATCGGACTGATCGTTTTCAGCGCGAACGAGCACACTCACCGTGTGTCTCGCGATAAATCGTCTCCTTGCGTATCGGCGAGATCTCATTCATTCCGGATCGTTCCCGGGCATTACGTTGTCGTTGCTTGTTGTGGACGGGGTGTTGTTGTAGTTGTTGCTGAACCAACGGCGATCTTCGCCGACGTAACGATCGGGGACTCCTGCGGTTTCCCGGTGAGCCCCGGCCGCCCCAGCTGCTATCCTGTACATCGGCTACAAAGGAAAGAGCCGGCATGGCACGTGCGAGTGATTAGAGACAAGATACTCGTTCGTTCATTAGTTTTCTGTCATCTTTCGTAACAGAAGCGTTTGAACCGGAAGTTAAAGTGTAGTGATAGTAGTAGTGGTGGTGGTGATAGTGGTGGTGGTGATAGTTGTTGGTGGTGGTTCGTAGTGTCGGTGAAGATAGAACTGAATCTGTTCTTTTCTCTTGTATTTCTATATCTCTCTCGCTATCTCTATTTCGTCTACTCTTAACACTGTGCTAGTGCTGCGCTAAGTTTGCCTAAGGCCCAGTTCTATAACTCACGGTTATCTCTTAACCGAGGTTCAACTTATTCATTGTTTCTTTCTAATTTTAGAATTAAAAAGAGATGAGAAACAAGTTGAACCTCGATTAAGAGTTAACCGTGAGTTGTGGAACTGGGCTTAAAAGATTGCTAACTGTTAACACCGACCGGTCCAAGTCAAGACATTCATTGAACGAGATACCGTTTCAAATAAGAGATTTTCTTTCTACGGTGCATTAAATTGAACCGTTTAAAAAATAAATGTTCGAGAACTACCGGAGCAATAACGCACAGTAGAAAAATCTCTTTTAACGTATACATGCGGTCATTTTCTATCACGTTTTAATGCAGTTTTGATTCACACCTTCGAAAGTATTTAGATCTATCAGCTTCGAGTCTATAGTGCCAGCATTGAGAAGAAGTGTGTTGCCGAGAGCAGGAGGCGTCTGCCTGATAACATCAAGACAATTGTGCATTACATAGATACAACACAAGGGCATGCACAGACCGAGAGTGGATGCGAATGAAATACATCGAGAAGAGAAAGATACTAAACGCTGTGTGTGTCCATATCCCATACATTTAACGCTATAGTATACTCATGGACGTACTCAGAATTTTGGAGAAAAGGAATGAGGGTTTATCGATTTTGTTATCATATACAACAATTTTGATCGAGAGTGTCACGTCCATTTGATCAAGCGGAGTACTCATTAATATCTAGTGCATATTATATTTGTTAGCTTAAAGACCTTGCAAAAATTTTCTTTATATATTTATTGTATACGAACATTTTGTCAAAGCTTTGACAAAAATAAAAAAACGAAACGAAAATAAAAATTATTATAGTCGTAACGAGAAGAAAAACATATTTTATATGATAACAAAAAATTTACACAAAGTCGAAAGTAAAATTGTTTAAAATTTTTTTCATTAAAAATAAAAAAATTTGGGGGAACTTTGAATTTTCCAAATTTTTATCTGGATACGTCTATGATTATACTACAAATAAATATCGTCTGAATTTTTTGAACGGTCGGTTAGCAAAAAAAAGTTTAACGCTAAGTGCAGGATATGAATACTGGTCTAAGAGTGTAGAACTAAAAATCTAGTAAGAGTAACAAAATCTGTTCTCGATTTCATCGGTATTATTCATCGCTGATAATTACCGTCTCGAACGTCACCGGCCTCGATCTCGCTGAGACCATTCGCCATGGAGTCGAGGCCCTCATTCTCTGATCGCGCCTTAGTGGCCACCGTATCTGGTTTCGTTCTCCAACCGCCGCGCACGAAGTTATTCAAGTTTGCGCTGGGATCGGACAACCTTCGTTGATGGCGATACATGAAGAGTTCCTCTGCGTCGTCCCAGTCGGCGTCCCACAGGTCGGTCGCACAATAACCCGGCTCCGACGTTGGCGTCTCAGCACCGGAACCTTTCGGTTTTGTGACGGCCATCTCCGCATGTCCCTTGCCTAAATAATTCCCGTACGTAAATAAAACTCTTATCGTAACGTATCGAACTCTTATACTCTTTGCGCCTTGCCGTACCGATAAATATAGACATTCTATTTTCCATCTTTTGCGCAAGCGATTACGTCACGTCAAATAATAAAGGTATTCTCATCGACACCTACGTCGATATTTTATGCTTAATTTTTAGATTATTTTAATATATTTTTTTACTTCTTATTTCTTATCATCTGTATTACATACAAAATAAATTATTATGTTAAAAGTTGTAAGTAAATTATACACGAAAAGAACGGTTTTGTTGAAGTATTTTAAAAGTTTAGTTAGTAATTATATAGGAATCTCGAGCATAATGAGCAATGCTACAAAAAGTCTTGACATTCCAGCAATCAATTTGAGCGTCCTGCATAATTATTTTAATGGCAACAAAATTATTTGCAGATCAGTATCTAATTAAACTTTTAAATACTCCAGCAAAATCATTCTTTAATATTAAAATAGTATATTCAAATTATATAAATTAATTAATTAATTGAAGTCGACTAAAAGAAAGATATTGATAAAATTCTTACACATACCACGTGGTCCCTTCATTCGTACGAATTCTACTCTTTGCGAGGCCGCGCCGGAGAAGAGGCCGAATGTCATCCGCTGAGCCATTTTGGTGCTCAGGCTCGACTAAAAGCAAAAATGGCTTTTATCTCACATGCATAAATTTAACAATGCAAAACTAAACTAGATAATAAGAACTCACTCTGGCGTCATAAACTTTTTTCAAAGCGTCGTATCTGATCGAACCGAGGAAAATGACGCCCTGAATCGCGCCTTCCCGGTCGGAGGCGACCAGCTCCACGCACACCATCTCCCCATCCCTGACTAAAATATCACAAAAAACTTCATCGAAATTATCCACCATGAAGCATATATGCGGATACGTCATTTCCTCGAGATCACCCTTAGCATCCATACGTCGTCGACTTGGACTGGCGTATACTTTCTGAGAATGCCTTCGCAGTACCTAAAAAAAGTCGTGTTAACACGAGGTTCTGGTTGTCAGTTCTACAGATAGCTACAGATGTAAAATAAATGATTAAAATAAAACGATAATACAACAAAGGTGCAGGATTGGGTAGTGTCTAGTTAAAAGGATTAAAGTTAAGTTAAGAATATCAAAAGTTAAATAATTTTAACTTAACTTATACTAGTTACTTTGCAGACTCTTAACTTTTAACTTAATTTAGTTACGTTTTATCAGTAACTATTAACTTTTAATTTAACTTTCTTGAAGTTAACTAGACAATAAATAAGGATGCCGCATGCCTATTTACAAGTTAAGCTCTACATTATGTGGAGCGATGCTCAAACTCGTGCGAATTTGTTTCGCATACGAAACGGACACATTTTCAACAATTTTCAAGGAATAATATTTGATACAAATTTCGAAATGACTTTATTACATAAATTTAATAAATATATATAAACCTCGATGTAAACAAAATATGTATATAGAGTTTTTAAATAAAGTGTATATTTGTTATTTTCGTTATTTATAAAACTGAAACTCTGAAATCATAAAACGAAACATTTAACTTTTAACTTTTCAATTACCTTTTTATTAATTTAACTTTTAATTAAATAAATTTCATTGTAAATTAACTTGTATCTTAACTAAATTAAGTTTTCAAGGCTGTTAATTTTAATTTAATTTAAAAAAATGTTATTTTATATTCAACCTTGCAAAGATGATATTATTCCAATCTTTGCGCAAAAAGAATAGTTTTATTAAAGTATCTAAAAATTTATCTGAAAAGAATTTTATTGGATCATCAAAATAATTATGTAAGGACACTTAAATTAGTTACTATAGAATGTCAAAACTTTTTATAGCATTATCGTTACATTTGAACCTTCTACAAAATTATTTTGATAGTCTAACATAATTATTTTGATAATCCAACAAAATTATTTTCAAATCAAATACTTTAGCACCATTGTTCTTTCTCTGAGCGAAAATAAAAAAAAAGAAAAAATAAGAGGGAAATGTAATCGATTTGAAACATCCTGTATAATATTCATCTATAATATTTTTACATTTCTTTCCTAATTCGGTCGAAAGCTATGATTCTTACTTGCAATTCCTTAGGGCTCGTTCTTGTACAGATAGCCAATGTAAGCGTGTAGTCGAATTGGTGCACAACGAGATTCAGGTACACAGTTTCCTCCCAATCTATGTCAGGATCGCCGATCGGCAGTTTCTTGCTGTCTTTACGAAACACATCGACCTCGGTCTCGAACTTTGGCAAGTATCTCGATGAGGTCTTCACGTGTTTCTTACGGACGAAAAAGAGCAAATCGTCGCCGTCGATAGCGTGCTCTGCTTGAAAGAGGAAGTGACGGACGAACAGATCCGTCCAGTACGTTGTGCCCTGCAGCACGACGAATCCAGAGTCTAGTAAAAATGAGAGAATTTGCGTGTTTAAAGACGCTGGCTCGATAAATTAAAATTTGAAATCTGAGATAAGGTTTTAATTTCTCGTGTCAACGCGATGTTCGATTAACACCAAATTCATTCCCGATCGATTCGTTACGCGCGAAAGGGTGTACCGGAAAGGGGAGAAATAACAACGAATGGAAGAGGCGGGAAATATCAGGTAATCAATACCTGTTATGACGCGTATTGATGAAGAAGGTCCAGCTTGGAAATCGAGCCAAATAATTAATACGTTTTAACTAGTCCTTTAACTTTCTATTCTGTTTAATCTCAACACACACACAACACACACATTCTAATAAATATGTTATATATTGATTGTTAATTACAATATTTGGATAAATAATGTTGAATCTTTCATTTAAACCGCTGTTCCCATTCTCTAATAAAGTAGAAAAGAAATAAAAGCGAATAATATTTCACATTTAGCAATAAGAGATAAAAATTGTGCAATTACATTAAAAAAATAAAAACATCAATCAATATGAATGCAATTAAAAGTTGTTAATTTGTTATATGATTGTATTATATTCATATAATAATATAATTCAACGTTCCTAACATAAAGAAAACATAAGGAAAACAAATGACGTGATTCACGATGTATATTTATATCGTGATTAGAAACATGATATAATGCATACACCACTCTACGCAAGTATTCTTTTCAGTGCACTGTCACTGAGAGAAAACGAAATAGTTCCAGCAACTATAAATTTGGCAACTTTTGCAATTGAAGTACCTGTAACTAATTTTACAAAGTAATAGAAACTAAAATAGTGCTGAATATTATAAAAATATAGTCACGGTAACAAATTGTATGCACTATTAATTGGTACTGAAATAGTGACTCAACTACATTGAGTAGTTACTTGGACTTCATGCAAATAGATATAACAATTACATTTTTCTAGTTTAGACAAAAATTTTTAAAGTGTCGCTCAGTACGAGTAGTACGCGGCTTTGTCACCAGAGGGACGTAGCGGAGTTCAGTTTCTCCTAAGAAGGAAACCACTCAACTTACAATAAAAGGCGCAGCGTTGGTTTCAAACTTGGAAGACAAAAATAAATAAGAAATGCATACACAAATTTGTAACTATGTATTATAAAGCTTTAATAAGAACAATAAGTAAATTAAGTGAACTAAAAAAATATAGTAATATTAACCATTTATAAATTGTTTATATGGTTAATGTACTATATTTTCTTAGTTCACTTAATCTAGTATTCTCTTATTAGAATTTAATAATATGTATATAGTTGAGGCGCTATTTCACTACAAATTTATAGTTACTGATACGACTTTTTTCTCTGACTGTGCCATATAAAGGCATGTGTTGAGTAATTATAGTCCATATATAGGGCGGCAAATTTTAGAAGAAAGTTTTAGTTTTGTTGAACACTGAAAGAGCGTTGTTTATAGATAATTTAAAGTCACTAGATAAATAAGATGATTAATAATAAAACGCAATTTATGAAAAAAGATTAAATTTGTTTTCTATTCTCAATGAAAAATATAATATTTGCTATTTTATCAATTTATGTAATTTTGTTGTATGCTTTATGCCATTTCTACACTACAAATAAATAAATAATTTTCGAAAGATTTTGAGAAAATCAATTTTTTAATTAATTTAACTTCTAAAAAATGTTACCAGATGACACACATGTAAAAGAGCACTTGAAATATTTCAGTCCATGGGCGCAAAATAATTAACGCGACCCTGATTCCTCCGATTAATAAAGTAGATAGTTAAAGCGATTAGCGAAACATTTATTAATCTCTGTCAATAACAAAAACAAGTAGACTAAATAAGTAATCTTCATTATTCAGCATTCAGAGTGATGAAGATATTATGTAGTGTTAAGCAACCCTCTTAGAAAGTAATTAAAAAATATTTTCCGTGTATTAAAAATTATTTTTAAATCTTTTCCTCTGTGTTTTTTTAAATTTAAATTTTAAAAGTTTAAAGCATTGAGAAATAAATTAAACTGTACAAGATACTTAAAATTTTTTAAACATAAATTAAAAATTTGATATAAATAACAATAAAGATGTGGAGAGGTTTTATTTTTATATTTAAAAAACTGAACTAAAATAAAATATTGGAAAAAATGTTTATAGTTTCAAAATAATAAAAATTAAGAGAAAAAAAGAACAGTTTTGTTTCTTTGAAGTACATCTCCCACACAGAGAGAAAAATGTTTGGTATTTGTAACTATAATTATATATTACTATAATTATAATTACAAATACCAAACATTTTTCTCTTTGTGCACAAGCGAGATGGTTGTATATTTCCCATCGGCGGTCAATCCCTTCAAAACACCCTTTACATAATTCCTTGGTTAAAGCAAACCCTAACTCGGTCTGTGTACGTTCTCACCCTCAGCGTACGCACACATTATCATCCCCTTTGAACCGCTTTACCCCAGCGGCAACGAATACGAACCATCCTTGAGCATCTGCCTGAGCTCTTTCGTTCTCTGGAAATTGATCTCTTCGAGGAGTTGCTCCAGCATCGTCGGGGCCCTGGTGAGCCCCGCCGACGATGAACTGCTCGCCAAACTCGCCATGATAGACGACGGACTGCGTGCCTCGTCAGTCTTCCACCTGGGATCGTCTCGTTCCTCTCCCGTTTGTCAATTGTCTGCGTCTTCCACCTATATGCACTCTGTGCTCGCAAACGTAAACGTCCTTGGCCCCGTCAAATCAGGAGCGGCGTACGCGACGAGCGGCGGTGTCTCTCTTGCGCTTGGGGAACCGTTCCGACGATGACGACGACGGGTGGCGGGTATGACGAGGTGGTCTCACGATGTTCCCATTTCGAAGTTGAAAGCCTTAACAATCGGAGAAACTGCAAGGCGTTTACGACGTTCGCGTCGTAGACGAGCGAGGCTGAGTGGTCGCAGCGAGGAGAAACGTCAAATCGAAGCCCCTCGCGCGGCGCGGCTCGGCCGCGACTGACCGAACACTTGCCGTAGACTTTTGTCGATAATATAACGCATGCGTATATGTCTTATCGTGACTGTCATTGTTGTTGAGGCGCGATATTTGAACGACACCCGATATAAGACCTCGGCGACGATGTCGATGTCTAGTAGGACTTCAATTGATTCGCCTGAAACCTAATCAAAGATATCTGCTTGTTTCTCGCGAGAATATGAAATAAATTTAATTTTTGTAATGTTCTCGCTGTCTCATTGACTTTATTTTCTGTTGATGTCATTTCCAAAGTATAATGCTCATTTATCAAACGAGATTTCAAATAAGAGATTCAATGCCGATTCGTAAAGATCGATCTGCAATCTGAAATAACAATCACTTCGAAATTTCTCTTCGTCATTAGTTCCAAGTCCGAGAGAAATGATTTGTAAATCTCGTTGAATATTCGCATATCCTCGGACGCACCGCTGGAGTTTATCGTGGACGTTTCCGCATTATCTTCAAGGCGTCGTTAGTGATATACATTGACCCAAAACTGACCCCGTGACTCGCGATAAAATTCTCCGGAATACTGTCGGTTCACTGGAAACGGAGCACACGACATCCGCCGATTTCTCCATCAGTATCCATCGGTTTGACCAGCGAGAACATTCACGGGCGTCTTGTATATCTGCCAGTGAGTAATCCACGATCTCTGTTAACGATCTGCTCAACTGCACAATCTGATCGAACGGATGTGTCGCGAAACGTGTCACGTAGGCGATTCTGTGACTAATCTAGTCTATTGTGAAATTTGGTTACATAATATATTCGCAAACACGCCGATCTCTCTCTCTCTCTCTCTCTCTCTCTCTCTC